CTGGACCGCTGGATTAAAACGTTGTTTCGTGTTAGCAGCTGGAGCCCTTCCAGGGAGAGGAGAGGAGAGAGGGGGGAGCGACACACATATACACATGCATGCACGCGCACACACACACACAGGGAGGAGAGAGGGGAGAGAGAGGATATTTCAAGGGGGAGAATTCATTGAAATGCTGCCTGTGTCCGCTCTGGGTCAGAAGGGCAAGAGGCGCAACCTAGACGGCTTTGCTGAAATCCATTTGATTCCCCGTGTCTGCGACCAGCCTGTACTTGCAATTGTGTTGGCCTCTTTCGCTCTGCTGTTGAAAAGTAACTTCCAATAGCTACGGGTTGCCCTCTTCTCTTGCCCTAAATGGTCGAGCCCTGCTTGGGAATTTCTTCCTATTTTACAGATGGGAAAGTTAAGGCATCAGCTGACCGAGCCTGGCTTACTTACCAGGCGTGTACCAAGAGCAAGTGCCGAATCTTCACATTGTCAAGCTAGCACATTTGTGTCGAACCGAACAGTAAACTCCAAGGTTTAATTACCCCAGAGTGAAAACCGTAATTCAGCCAGGCACTGCGAATTAAGTTGGTATGAAAAGCACCTTCATCTTCTGAACTCTCAACAACAAGGCTTTAATAGGGCTTGCCGATCAGAAGGTCGGCAGTTCGAATCCCCGCGACAGGGTGAGTTCCCGTTGCTCTGGCCCTGCTCCTGCCAACCTAGCAGTTCGAAAGCATGTCAAAGTGCAAGTAGATAAATAGGTACCGCTCCGGCGGGAAGGTAAACGGCGTTTCCGTGCGCTGCTCTGGTTCGCCAGAAGCGGCTTAGTCATGCTGGCCACATGACCCAGAAGCTCCCTCGGCCAATAAAGCGAGATGAGCACCACAACCCCAGAGTCGGCCACGACTGGACCTAATAGTCAGGGGTCCCTTTACCTTTACCTCACTTTAGTGCTTTAGCAAAAAATAAAATAAAAAAATCATGCCTCAGAAGCAGGAATCACCCTCTGGATACAGCACTCCCAAGGATGGGGCCAGCTGGACTCTGTCTTAGGGAACGTAGTTAGGGATCCAATTCTCTTGACTCCGATCTGGGAAAGTATTTGAGGTTGTTGCTTTTAAGAGCAACACATGGAGCCCAGTTATGGAGAGGTTGCCAGAGGGATCAACACTGTTTCCTTGGGGATCAGAAGGGTCCATTGGCGGAAGAAAGTAACTACCCCGACCAGAGAAGAATGGCAAACCAAGTTGGTGGACTATGCCAAAATGGCAAAATTAACTGGAAGCTCAGAAATCGAGAAGACAGGAACTTTAAGGAGGAATGGGAAAAGTTTATAATGTATTTACGAGACCACTGTCAACAGGTTAAAACGTTAGCAGGATTTTAACCACATTTATAAAGTAATGGAAAGTATGGATAATTTAGGAGGATCAAAAATTTGGAGAAGTATGGATATGCAATTGTAAAAAAATACTGTGAGAACCCATGGAAGGGATCGTAGGAAGTCAGGAGATTCAGAGCAATTTCAACATTTGGATTCGGAATTGCTTTTTGTTGTATGTATATACACAGTGGACGCCTGGGTTGCAAACGTGATCCGTGTGGGATGCACATTCGCAACCTGCAGCATTCGCAACCCGTGTCTGCATGTCTGCGCATGGGTTGCGATTCGGCGATTCGGCGCATGCGCAACCGCAGGAATCTGGAAGTAACCCGTTCCTGCACTTCCAGGTTTCTGCAGTCCATAACCCGAAAAAATGCAACCTGAAGCGGCTGTAACCCAAGGTATGACTGTAGTTTTAAAAATTAAAGTGTGTGTAGATAGATAGATAGATAGATAGATAGATAGATAGATAGACAGACAGACAGATAGCTAGATAGAAGGGCCCCTTGGCATCCCTACTGCCACTGGGGGAACCTGTCTGGTTGTGCTGCACATTGACACACACACACACACACACATCCAGGACAGATCCCTGATTGACGTCACCAGCAGAGCTTTGAAATGGGAGGCAGGTTGGTGTGTGGCTCCAATGCATGTTGACCAGTCACCACCTCTGACACATTAGTAGCCCCTTTGCTGCATTTCGATGTTGCTGTAAACACCAGAGAGGTGGGAGGGGGAGTCTTTACCTGATGTGCATTACTTAATTTGTTTCCCCCTCCCCCCAAAAAAACTCCTCCTCTGCAAGGAAGACGCCATCTGTGCGCAAGCTTTTCTCATGGCTCAGCGGCTGTGCCTTGCCAAAATCCGATCCTACCCGCTGAATCGGACCTTGTCAGATGAGCAGAGCATCCAAAGAGAGGTTTTACTTCAAGTGAGTTTCAGTTCAGTGGGTGAGAGGGGACTTTGACAAAAACACAGCTGCAGAACAATGAGAAAAGCTCTCAGGCCCGGGGGGAATTAATTGGTACACGATGCGATCAAAATGTGGGTCAAGCAAAAAGTGTGGATGAGCTCATATGAAGTGGAAAGGCAAGATAAGGATAATAGCAGAAATCTTTTTGTAATCCAGCTTTTTAGAAGCAACCTGACTCATCGTGACTCAAAGAGGTGAGGGGGGAATCCTTTGTAGGGTGGGGTCCAGAGGCAGAAGCCATCGAGAGAGATACAGCGGTACCTCGGGTTACATACGCTTCAGGTTACACACTCCGCTAACCCAGAAATAGTGCTTCAGGTTAAGAACTTTGCTTCAGGATAAGAACAAAAAATCGGGCTCTGGCGGCGCAGCCGCAGCAGGAGGCCCCATTAGCTAAAGTGGTGCTTCAGGTTAAGAACAGTTTCAGGTTAAGAACAGGCCTCCAGAACGAATTAAGTTCTTAACCCGAGGTACCACTGTACTCAACATCAGAATAGATCCCAAGGCTGCTAAATTTTAAGCACAATCAAGAGAGGCTGAGAGGACAAAAGTGTGAAAAAATAACCAAAGGGAAGAAGAATCAGACCACGCTTTAAGTAGAGCAGAAAATCCCTCTTTGAAGCAGAAATAATGACATAAAGGTTAAAAAAATATGTTCCAAGGATATTTGGGGAAGGTAGATTCCACCCTACAGCTCATCAGTGGTTTGGGATGTGGATTCCCCTATGATGGATAGGATATTATGGGGTACTCAGAAGGCCTGGAGAGAACTTGGGGGATTGCAAAGTTTGCCCCAATGAGCATTCCCAAGTATCGCAGCAAAGCAGAGACGATTGACTGCAGGCTGGAGACAGGAAAAGCTTTTGACACTGCTAAGTCCAAGGGGGAAAGCAAAATGGCCCGTTTAGAAGACCCTTCAGGGAAATCTGGAAATAGAACGGAATGAAAAAAGCAGCAACACCTCCAAAGAACCCAGCCGAGTTTCCCACAGGCTTCTAGTTGGCCACTAGTTGTTGTACAGTAGTACCTCAGGTTACAGACCCTTCAGGTTACAGATGCTTCAGGTTGCACACTCCGCTAACCCAGAAATAGTACCTCAGGTTAAGAACTTTGCTTCAGGATGAGACCAGAAATCGTGCGGCGACAGCGGGAGGCCCCATTAGCTAAAGTGGTACCTCAGGTTAAGAACAGTTTCAGGTTAAGAATGGACCTCCGGAACGAATTCAGTTCTTAACCAGAGGTACCACTGTACATGCAACAACTGATTTAGACGTGCCTGAATGATGCAAGATCATGCACACACACACACACACACACAGCACCTAACCTGGAAGTAGCCCTCAAGTGTCATAAAGACGTCACACAAGAAAGGGCGGGGTGCGCTTATGCGTGCTATGCCACATGGGGGTCTGGAACATAACCCCCACACAAAACAAGGATTGTCTGCGCTAGATGGGCCACTAGCCTGATTCCAGCATGCTCTGCTTATGTTGTTAAGGAGAGCATTTGCTTTGAGTGCAGAAGTCACAGATTCCATCCTTATTATTATTATTATTAATAACTGAGTTAATATACTGCCCTATAGGGACGCAGGTGGTGCTGTGGGTTAAACCACAGAGCCTAGGACTTGCTGATCAGAAGGTCAGCGGTTCGAATCCCCACAATGGGGTGAGCTCCCGTTGCTCGGTCCCTGCTCCTGCCAACCTAGCAGTTCAAAAGCACATCAAAGTGCAAGTAGATAATTAGGTACCGCTCCAGCGGGAAGGTAAACGGTGTTTCCATGTGCTGCTCTGGTTTGCCAGAAGCAGCTTAGTCATGCTGGCCACATGACCCGGAAGCTGTACGCCGGCTCCCTCGGCCAATAAAGCGAGATGAGTGCCGCAACCCCAGAGTCGGCCACGACTGGACCTAATGGTGAGGGGTCCCTTTCCCTTACTGCTCTATACCCGGAGGACTCAGGGCGGTTCACAGAAAAGATCACAACATACACAATCAGAATAAAAACAACAACTCAGTAACACCCCCCCCCAAAAAAGAGCCACATTCTAAAAGGGTGTTGGATGTCAATAAGATCAGCCAAAGGCCTGGTTAAAAAGGAACGTATTTGCCTGGCACCTAAAGGTGTGTAATGAAGGTGCCAGGCGAACTTCCCTGGGGAACGCATTCCACAGATGGGGAGCCACTGCAGAGAAGGCCCTGTTCTCATGTTGCTACCCTCTGCACCTCTAGAGGAGGGTTATCTCCACATAGGGCTAGGAGAGACTCCTGCCTGAACCCCCCCCCCCCCGAGAGCTGCTGCCTGTCAGTGCAAACAATACTGAACTAAATGAGCCACTGGTGTGACTCAGTATCAGGAAGCTTCCTATGTTCCTCAGCCAATTTGCATAGTCCTATTTCCCGGAGTAAACAAGAGGAGCAACCCACGCAAGGACGCCTTGGTGCATTGAAAGGCAGTTCCTTAACTCAGATCCTGCCTCTCCGCTGTTCAGACCAGCGCAGAAAGCTAAAAATAGTAAGCTGGTTCAAGCTCATTTTCAATGCAAAGGCACTTAAGGAAAACAAGATAACTTGACTAGCGAGTAGCCTTCTTCTCTTGCTGTAGCCTCGGCTCCAATGCTGGATCGTTAAGCCTTAATAATAATAATAATAATAATAATAATAATAAATTTTATTTATACCCTTCCCTCCCCAGCCAGAGCCGGGCTCAGGGCAGCTAACACCAGTAAAATTACAGTAAAAACATAATGGTGGGGAACCAATTTAAAATACATGTTAAAATGCAGCCTCATTTTAAAAGTAGCCCATAGATCAAAACCATAAGGGGAGGGAAACATAAGGGTCAGACTAACTAAAGGCCAGGCGGAACAGCTCTGTCTTACAGGCCCTGAGGAAAGATGCCAAGTTCCGCAGGGCCCTAGTCTCTTGTGACAGAGTGTTCCACCAAGTCGGGGCCAGTACTGAAAAGGCCCTGGCCCTAGTTGAGACCAGTCTAACCACCTTGCAACGTGGGACCTCCAAAGTGTTGTTATTCGTGGACCTTAAGGTCCTCCGCGGGGCATACCAGGAGAGGCGGTCCCGTAGGTATGTGGTCCTAGGCTGCATAGGGCTTTAAAGGTTAAAACCAGCACCTTAAACCTGACCATGTACTCCACCGGGAGCCAGTGCAGTTGGTAAAGCACTGGATGAATGTGATCCCGCAGCAAGGACCCTGTAAGGAGCCTCGCCGCGGCATTCTGCACCCGCTGGAGTTTCTGGGTCAGCTTCAAGAGCAGCCCCGCACACAGCGAGTTACAATAATCAAGCCTGGAGGTGACCGTCGCATAGATCACTGTGGCCAGATCAGGGTGAGAAAGGTAAGGGATCAACTCCTTAATACGGTGGAGATGGAAAAATGCCACCTTTGCTGTGGCTGCAACCTGCGCCTTCATGGGAAGGGAGGCGTCGTAGGTTACACCCGAGCTCTTGACAGAAGGCGCTGGCACTAAGTTCACACCACACTTTAAACAAGGGAAGTAGTGTCTAGTGGATGGAAAAGGCATGAGTGGGAACGAAGAGGCAGGGTTCAGGTACCCACTATGGGGGGGGGGCAGGAATGTAGCTGACCAGGTGATCCCCAGCTGTCCAATAGCAAGGAGCTAGGAAAGCTATGGTTTTCCCAGTACTGATGTATGGAAGTGAAAGCTGGACCATAAAGAAGGCTGATCACCAAAGAATTGATGCTTTTGAACTATGGAGCTGGAGGAGACTCTTGAGAGTCCCATGGACTGCAAGAAGATCAAACCTATCCATTCTTAAGGAAATCAGCCCTGAGTGCTCACTGGAAGGACACATCCTGAAGCTGAGGCTCCAATACTTTGGCCACCTCATGAGAAGAGAAGACTCTGGAAAAGACCCTGATGTTGGGAAAGATGGAGGGCACAAGGAGAAGGGGACGACAGAGGATGAGATGGTTGGACAGTGTTCTCGAAGCTACCAGCATGAGTTTGACTAAACTGCGGGAGGCAGTGGAAGACAGGAGTGCCTGGCGTGCTCTGATCCAGGGGGTCACGAAGAGTCAGACAGCACTAAACAACTAAACAACAACAGGAAAGGTCCACGGCTCAGGGGCAGATCACATACTCTGCACACCCCAGGGCTCCTAGTTCACCTTTAGGCATCTCCAGGTGGGACTGGCAAAGACCTCTGCTAACCAGTGTGCAGGTGATATTGTGTTAGATGAACCAAGGGCCTGAGACTTAGTAGAAAGGAGCTCTCTGGGTTCTTCTGCTAGTTATGTCCAGGACAACCATCTTTCCAAGCAGCGCGGTTTAATTTCATCTGCACTGTCCATAATTCAGCCCCCAGGAAGGTGCCAGTCTTTCCAGGTTCCTGAGTTGAGTCTTGCTCTATACCTAAAAGACAGGACAGGAGGTGTAGTTAGTCTGCCCGGCGCCTGAGTCTTATTCATTTCTTTTACTTATTGCATTTATATACTTATTGCACCTTTCTTCTTCTTTTGTGTATAATTTTTATTAAATTTGCTGAGAATATTCATTTAAACAACCTTAAAAGGTCAGTGACTTCCCTTCTTCTCTTTCCATGGTTCATTTTGCATAACATAAATCCCTGCATATTTTATATAAATTAAACCGTTCAGTATTCCATTATTACAACCATCAAAACTTGTTTACACTATTGAATTTATCTTAATGCAGCCAACATTTTCAAGTGTACACAATTCCAACCCCCATTTATTCAATAAACATTTTCCAATTTCCTTTAAACGTATGTTCTTCTTGTTCTCTTATTCTATATGTTAGGTCCACAAGCTGCGCATATTCCATCAGTTTAAGTTGCCATTCTTCTTGGGTTGGGACCTTGACCCCCCCCCACCTTTCCTCTGAGGTGCTCAAGGTAGTGTACCTACCTCTCTTCCCCCTTCCTGGTTTCGCCCCATTTCATCCTCACAAACAACTCTGTAGGGTAGGTTTAGGCTGAGAGTCAGGGACTGGCCTGAGGTCACCCGGTGGTCTCTTATGTGGAGTGGGAGGGGACAGATTGCTTGTACATCCATTTACCTGCACAGTGGTACCTTGGGTTAAGTACTTAATTTGTTCCGGAGGTCTGTTCTTAACCTGAAACTGTTCTTAACCTGAAGCACCACATTAGCTAATGGGGCCTCCTGCTGCTGCTGCGCCACCACCACACAATTTCTGTTCTCATCCTGAAGCAAAGTTCTTAACCCGAGGTACTATTTCTGGGTTAGCGGAGTCTGTAACTTGAAGCGTATGTAACCTGAAGCGTATGTAACCTGAAGTGTATGTAACCCAAGGTACCACTGTATACCTGAAGGAGGGTCTCCACCCTCATCATTCAACCCGGATACTGAGAAGCGAAGTACAGTGAACCAGGCAGAGGGCATTCTCGGTAGTGGCACCTGCCCTGTGGAATGCCCTCCCATCAGATGTCAAAGAAATAAACAACTATTTGACGTTTAGAAGACATCTGAAGGCAGCCCTGTTTAGGGAAGTTTTTAATGACTGATGTTTTAACGTATTTTTAATCCCTTGTTGGAAGCTGCCCAGAGTGGCTGGGGAAACCCAACCAGATGGGTGGGGTATAAATAATAAATTTTATTATTATTATTATTATTATTATTATTATTATTATTATTATTATTATTTAGGATGAGGAGGGAGAAAGACGAGAAACAACCTGCGGACTCACCTCTGCATTCTACGAGCTGTGCTCTGAGCTACTGCGGGCCTGATACAGAGCTGAGTCCGATAAAAAGGCCTCAGGTGAGCTAGATTTCCGGTGATGTCGGCTGCCCCGACCTGTAAAAAGATCCAAGAGAGCTTTTTCCTAAAGCCCTGAGCCATACATGGCTGAGCATCTCACCCCTTGCCCCTATCTTTCCTGGTGTCTTCAAATCAAACGAAGCAAGACTGCCTATTCTAGCACTTTCCTTTCCTTTCCTTTCCTTTCCTTTCCTTTCCTTTCCTTTCCTTTCCTTTCGACATCCCCTCCACCCTTTCCACTAATTGTTATCACCAGAAAGGTCGATACACACCTGTCATGGAATTCTACTCAATATTGATCTAGAGCAGAACTCCAAAGTACAGTATAGTTAGCAAAGTAAAAACTCAGACACGTTGCGGAATTCCCAAAACATAGACCAGAAGCAATTGCATTTCATCCAGCAGAGCTGTACTGCTGCTGAAGGCAAATGAGCACAATGGTCACAAATCTAATACATTCAGGATTAGCACTGTCCATAAGAAATCCAGTTGCAGCAGACTTAACTTAATAAGCCTAAACCTTAACACTAAGCATGCTATATACAGAACACCACACCAGAAGGAAGAAAGATAGAAAGAGAAAGTGAAACCCGGGCTCCATCTGGCCTCACTATTATAGTCAGCATGACCTTGACAGAAAGAGATAAGAGAACCAGTTTAAGCCTTCTCTGAAGGAATAACCCAAACATCATGAGTCTTCTGATTGTTTCTTTCACACAGAGAAGCTTCCAGAACCCTCTTGAATTAATTAAATAGGAAAGATATCTAGCCATCTGATCAATACTTTCTGTACTAAGATATGCAAACTGCAAGCTGAAGATTCAAGTCCAAAGAAGAAGTCAAGAGGGAGAGGCCCCCATTGGAAAGCCATGCCAGATAGGTTGTGGTCACCCAGCCCAATGGGGCCCACACTTCATAGAATCATAGAACCGTAGAGTTGGAAGAGACCACGAGGGTCATCTAGTCCAACCCCCTGCAATGCAGGAATATTTTGTCCAACATGCCTTCTTTCCAGTCCGGACCACTGCTGCAACTCACCTTTCATCCTCTGAGACCCCCTCTTGTCACTCCAGATGCTGTTGGTGAAGGAGTTGCGCAGCGTGTTGACAGCTGACCTGTATGGGAGGAAGATACAAGGACCTCCATGTAGATTGCAGGGCAGAAACATGACCCACCCCTTCATGGGTCTTCATTCCCCTTTGGTAGTGTGAGAGGAATTTTATGGTCTTAGATATATGGAAATGTTCATAAGTGTACCAACCAAGCACGTACATAGATCAGCACAGGAAGACCGACCTGGAACCATTTTGATTCCTAAACTGAGCAAATGTTTTCTCTGCAAGGTCAAAGTGGGAAACCTCCCCATTGTCTCTTTCCTCACAAATCCTGTCTTAAGGGTATGTCTGTGTTTGAATAGGGTGTGAGCCTGTGATCTGGCCCAGGAACTAAGTATTTATCATTACAAAAGACTGGCCAGGCTCCCCAGGCAATCTAATCAAGTAACCTGCCAGACAGGAGATAAACAACGACAGGGAAAAAAACAACATTCAAATTTCTGTTTTAGACCGCCTTTTCTGTGATGTAGGTATGATGTATCTGGAGGGTGGTCTTAGGTTACACCCCTTCTGTGGTATATGTATGATGTTTCTGGTGGTGGTCTTGATCTACAGAGTGGCAATTTCAAAAGTCTTTATAAGGCCTTGTGCGCCATTGTTTTGGGTTCCTCCTCCTCTCCTGCGGGTGAGGGGAGCACCCTGTTGCAACAGATCAATAAAGATCAGGCTTACTAGCTGCTTTTGCTTCTCAATATTCTCTGGTTGGCCTCTGTTATTTTCTCCTACCAATGGAGAATCTACAAAGGACTCTGTATGGGCTCTTGGATACCTCATAAGGGAAAAGGGCAGATTTTTGTTTACAACAGTAGCTAGTACAGGAAATAAACTCTGCAGGCTGAACCCCGGCTCTTGATCACTGTGGTCACCAACGTCTAGCTCAGAGGTTCTTAACCTTGGGGCCGTGGATAGGCTTCAGAGGGACCATGAACCGGGTGCAAAAAACCCCCAATCCCCCTCATTTGATTTCTTTCCTGCTTCTTTTTGTATCCTTGGGTGCATTTTTCTGTGGTCCATGGCTTTCATCAGGTTCTCAAAGGAGTCTATGACCCAAAAAAGATTAAGAACCACTGATCTAGTTGATCCCTCAGACCCAGGCGACTTCTTTACATTTTCATAGAGAAATCCAAGGTATGTATGTTGTAATGTGAAAACAGTAACCAGCTTCTCTCTCTCTCTCTTAATCTGATGCATGTGTCTGGAAAACAACAGCCTTTCGTTTCCAGATACGTGTACACATTGATCAAAAATACAGGCAGATTTTTATGCTGGAATTTGGATCTGTGTGTATGAAAATGTAAAAGCGAGAAGCAGAGGTGGAACTTCCTGGTACAGGAAATTCAAGCCCCGTGTCTCATTGGCCTACAGAGTTGAACAAGGTACACAACACCAAAGTCCACAAAAGTGGAAGAGGGAGGGCTGTCCTTTCTTTCACCCCTCAAGGCAGCTCACATGGGCACGAAATAGAAGGGCAGGGCAGGCTGAAGCTTTAGAGAGTGTTTAGGGTGGGATTTCTTGACAGGAATCCCCAAAATGATGTACTTACCAGATATTGTTCAGCTCGTCAGTCACAGGCTTATTATCTGCAGGTTCTAAGGCATCGCCTGCTGTTCTGCACTTCAGCTGGCCCAGGAACTAGGAAGACCAGGGAAGGATACAAGTAAGGAACAAAACTGGGAGGACGGCAGCCAGCAGCTATTTGCTGCTGTCCAGTAGGGGTGCTCCAAGGATGCAAATCTTTAAAAAAGGGAACAGGGAAACAGTGGCTTGTGAGTGCTCCAGTTGGAGAACAGCCTTTACCAAAGGCTTTGAAGACACTCAAACTCAAGACGAAAGGGAGAAATGTGCTAAGAGGAAGGCACGCTTGGCAAACCCTCACCATGATCAACTCCTGCCCAGTATGTCCCTACTGTGGAAGGACGTGTGGATCCAGAATTGGCCTCCACAGTCACTTACGGACTCACTGTTAGAACCGTGTTTGTGGAAGACAATTTTACCCAGCTCCAAGTTATTGCCAAAGAAGAGAAGCTCCAAGAAGGAATATGAATTTCTCAAACTTATTGCCACAAGATCCATGGCCTGGATGGCCACACATCAAACAGGACACAAGTGTTGTGTGATCTATACAACACACACTTCGTCCCCCATCAAAGGAGCCTGCGCTTTTCTGTTTTCCTATTCAGCTCCTATTCATCTGGGTCAGAGAGCTCCATCTTTGGGTCTCTAGGATCCTGAGAACCCCAGGTGGCCTCTTAACCTCAGACACTATCTCACAGATGACCTATTGAAATTAATGATCTATGTCAAGCGAAGCCGTTAATTTCTTTGAGTCTGCCCCGAGCAAGTTAGTTGAACACAACCCATTAATCTACAGCTGAAGGCAATGGGGTGTTGCTTCCTTTGATACAGACTTGTGCAACAAACAACACCGGCTCCATGCAGAGGTCCCACAAACACACCCACCTCTTGACGCTGGAAATCTCAGAGAACTGAGCCAAGAGAAGCTACTCACTTTGGTGCACTTCAGCTGATTCGCCTGCATTTTCTTAATGCTGACCAGGTTCCTGGTGATATCAACCTCCTGGTCCTCTACAATAAGAGTCCAAACACATTGGGTCACGATTTCCCCCTCTGCATTTCAACCTTTCTGTTTCTTGCCCAGGAACTGTGCACACACGCCCTCCTTCTGCCAGCTAGACCTTGTAAAAGCCACTTCCACCCTAAGAAGGAGATGGGGTTGCGGGCTTCACGGCCCCACCACACACACGATTCCTGGCCATGTCACCCCCTGGCCGGCCAATCAGCTGGTTCAGGGGGCGTGGCCTGCCCTATAGAGGCAGGATGCGGCTGGGAATCTCCCTCTTTGTCGCTCATCAGCTATTCCGGTTTCCCACCCTCCTGCCCTATAAGGTTTTTCATTCTTTGACCTTGCTATGGACTTGGTTGGTCACTGTTGAGGGGCCTGGTAGGATTTTTTTCCACTTGGCAAATTGGCACCAGCCACTTGGTTTTCACCTACCTTGTAGCAAATTGTCACAACTTTCTGGGATTGGTGGTTAGGCATTGGTATAGTTCTGTAGATGGAAGAGGGGAGGTAGCGCCATCACCTGCCCCACATATTGAAGAGTAGTCTGTTAAAGGATTCTAGGGGGCGTGGCCCTGTCCGAAGCCTAGGGAGCTGAGGGCCTAAGGCACGCCCCCTAACGGTGACCCTGGGGGAGTTCCTAGTTGATGTGCATCAGCAGGACTCCCCGTACTGGTGGTTAACCCTTCCCGGACTTCAAGTGGACGGGCTGAAGTCGGATATAGCCGGTTAGAACCAATGCCTAAGCCAATACCGCTCATCACCTGTAACCAATAAAGTTGTGGCCTTTTTTAGCCCATTAACCTTAATAATTGTGTCATGTGTCATTACTTCCACCTAGGGGAGGAGGGGACTCGCCACACAACAGCCACAGCTGACACCCTCAGCTGGGAGTAGAGGCCTGAAGGTTCCTGGAGTCTGGTGCAGCAACGACCCCTTGCTTGCGCTCTACTAGATGCAAAGGGGTGGAGTGCGCTTAGCCCAGAGGGTCACCAATGTGCCTGTCAATGCCTCCTATGGTGTCCGCCAAAGGTCTCAGCAAATAACCCCTTCAAATTCAACGATGCACAAGAGGTTGCTTGCTCTCAGCTCCTGCTTGCATTGGCTTGGCCTCTCCTGCACCAAACTTTCCCTGTTAAACATGCCCACATTTCATTGGATTCTGGGATTGGACACTCATCTTCCTGTTCATTCGGAACTGGGGAGAGGGGCAAAGAGAGGTGCAAATGATATACAATGAATTGAAAAAGATGTTGAAAATTACATTTATTTAAAAAAAAGCCCAACCCAGACGCTTTTATTTTGGGAATTATAGGGACAGAGCTACCTAAATTGTATAGAAATCTACATCAGCAAGAATGTTACTTGCGCCAAAATGGAAAGAAGTCCCAGCAAAGGAAGAATGGATACAAAAACTTCTGGAATATGCAGAAATGGTGAAACTTACCAGAGGAATAAGAAATCAAGATAACAAACTTTTTAGCAAGGAATGGAAATGGTTGATTTGAATATTTACAGATAAATTGTAAACAGATAAAAACACTAGCAGGATTATTGTAATAATTTGCAGTTTTATAAGAGTAGATATTTACAGTAGATAATTAAATGAGCAAGTTAAATGAATTTGGATATGCAGAAGGTATTAAAAAATAAATTTAAGGAACCGCAGAAAGAGGGGGAAGGAAGTCAAATTTTGAAATGATGAATTGATTGTAAAACTAATAAAATGTATAAATTTGAAAACAAAAAACAACAAGCCCACAGCTCCTCTCCGAGAGTGAATGTGGGGATGGTGGCAGCAGTTGACATAGGTCTCCCCCCCCCTTTGGTGGTGGGGCTACATCGTTTTGCATCCTTGTATCTTTTCCTGCTTTTAGAGGTGGCAGCCATTTTGGGATGGGCTCCCCACAGCACTTCCTCAGAATTCCCAAAATTCCCACCCGCCAGACCCTGGTTTTGCCCTTCTCTAGAAAGCAGAACAGCTATAGCAAGGGAGGGGAGGCAGGGCTGCCTGAATCTTGACACACATATACAAGAACCTAGTAGACAACATAGGATTTGTGTCATTTAAATCATGCCAGCACCAACATAATTTTCCCCTTTGTTGAAGTCACTGGTGGTTTATAACAGAGATCCTCAGGAAATACAGTTCCAACCAAGAGGCAGATATAATTAACAAACTATGCTGAATTGGCAAATCTTACAGGAAGAATCAAACTTTAATAAAGAATGGGGGAGGTATATAATGTATTTGAAAAACTATTGTAAATAGTTATTGGTATCTGAACAAGTGTGCATGCACGCGAAAGCTCATACCAATAAGAAACCTAGTTGGTCTCTAAGGGGCTACTGGAAGGAATTTTTTTATACTGTAAACAACGACATTTATTAGTAGGTTTGACAGAAAACTTGTATTAAAATTTGAAGTATGAAAAAGGACTTGTAACATTTTGAGTTAGTGAAGAGATGCAGAATGAAAATTAAAACATAAGGACCTATAAAAAAGGGGGGAGGGAAGTCAAAGGGAAAATGATGTTTGTATTTTGTTTATTTTTTGTTGTTATTGGTTGTAAAATTGAAAATGCAAAAATAATTTAAAAAAATAACAGCCTTCTCAGATCCAGGACTGAATTTCTTCTAACATGCTGTGGGGTACCCATATCTTAATGACCCCCCGACACCCCTTTTGTAGGGTGATTATGCTGCTACTGCAACCTACCTTAGGCCTACTAGCAAAGATTTGGGACACATCCAACTCCCACCCTCCTTGACCATTGGCTGGGGGTAAAAGGGAGCTGGATCTCAAAATCTGCTGGGACACAGGTTCCCCATCCTTGCCCTTGTGGATCCTGACTTGAAGGCGGAAGGGAGGCAGTGCCAAGAGTCTCAGTGTCTGGGGTCTCGACATTGGTCACAATTCTCCTAAGCAAACCTGAGATATGTAGAATTGGGGGGACGGGGAACCTCCTGCAAGCGGAACAATTAATTTTAAAACCACAATCCAAAGGTAAGCTGCTGATGTTACAAAATCAAACGGAAGACAGGCGAATGAGAGAGTTCACCGCTGAGGACGAGATGAGATTAAGCAAGAGTGTTAAATTAAAGGAAATCTTTGTAATTAACAGGAGCAGCTCAGCGAAAGAACAAGTCGCTTTGGGAGTGCCTGGAAAGTCTCCTTCCTCCAAGATTTTTAAAGCAAAGGTTGCAAAAGGTCCAGAAAAAGCTTTTAAGTCTATAAAATATTCAGTTGTAGGAGGGAGAGTTTGGCTGGCTGGTGCCAACTGAATGAACACATGTGGACTTGGGAGATTTTAATTCTATTACCCTAGTTGAGTGGGAGGGCAAAGACCTTTCCCCTCTATATAGCCTGAAGGTATAAACTAGGTGGCCCAGCAGACAGAGTTATGCTTGAGTCCAAAGCCATTCACATTTGCCACCCGCTCAGATTGTGGGAGGATAACGGAGGGTCTGCTATAGAGGAAGATTCAAGATGGCTTGAGTTTGCAGAAAGTAACGGAGGGGAAGGATGCTGGCTGGATTCAGGTAAAGAGCCCCATTAGCAGTCAGAAGCAGCAGATTTTTCCACTAGTGCAAAGGGGCTTTCCTCATCTCTCCTCCTAAGAACCTCCCACCTATCTATATATATATCTATATCTATATAGATAGACAGATATAGATATGTACATGTCAGGGAACTACCATTGGCTCAGAAGCGAGGAACAGATGGGCAGTTGTGTTACAGGGAGCCTCCAAAAATCTTGCGAAGCAGTTCCTCTTCTGGGGAGGCGGAAAGCCCCACCTCTAGTGGGGAAGAGGTGCAAGGACCAGAGGATGCTTGTGGGAGCCTTAACATTGCTCCTGGGCAAGGCGGACAGAAGGGAAACACGCCCTTGCCATCGCCCATCCTGCGCAGTAGCCTAAGGCGCAAAGAGGGAAGGAGAAGGTTGGGGGTAACAAAACTCTTACGTTGGGGGAGGTCCAAAAAAAGACCACTCCCAGATTCTGCTAGCGATTGAGCCAGACATGAACTTTTGGACGTAACAATGGATTACTGAATAGTTTAGTTCATGTAAAATATGCAGGGGTGTTGGGTATGCAAAATGAACCAGTTTAAGTTGCCATTCTTCTTTAGTTGGGACCTCACTTGTTTTCCATTTTTGGGCTGGCAAAACAGAGGGCGCAGTAGTGGCATACATTAATAGTCTTTTCTGACACCTGGGAATTTCCCTCCCCAACAGAGAGGACTCTGGGTTTTTTGGAAAGGTACTTTTAAACATTTTCCCCCAATTCATTATATGTCATTTCCTAATACTCTCTTACCCTTCCTGTTCCCCCACTCCTCAAACTGGCTCTTGCATTGAGAGTGTTGGGACACATTCTACTCATGTAAAAACACACTGATTCCTGGACCATCTGCGGGCCGGATTTAGAAGGCGATTGGGCTGGATCCAGCCCCCAGGCCTAAGTTTGCCTACCCATGGTTGAGACTAACAGATAGTCAAGGCAAATACACTGTGTGCTGTCCCACTAAACACCTAAGGTACACTCCTTCCTTCTGCATGTTCTCTCTCTCTCTCTCTGCTGCACAAGGGAACCTGGAAAACCTCCTCTCACAATCCAGAGTCAGAATCCAAAGCCATCCTTGCAAATATTTATTTATTCGTTCATTAAATATAAAGCACAGTCAAACCTTGGTTGTTGAACGCAATTCATTCCAGAAGCCCGTTTGGCTTCCAAAATGTACGACAACCGAGGCGCGGCTTCCAATTCGTTGCAGGAGCTTCCTGCACTCAAGCAGAAGCCGCGTCAGACGTTCGGCTTCCAAAAAACGTTTGAAATCCAGAGCGTTTACGTCCGGGTTTTCGGCATTCGGGAGCCGAAACGTTCCAAAACAGAGCCTTTCGGCAACCGAGGTTTGACTGTAACAGGAAGTAAAGAACCCTTTTTTCCCTTTACGAATGAAACCCCTGCTTAATTTATTTTACCCTTTTTAGCAGTGCTAGTGATGTGTGAATGGCTTAGGTCCAGTTTCCAAACTTCTATTTCTCTGAGATACACACACACACACACACACACACACACATACACAGTCATACCTCGGGTTACAGACACTTCAGGTTGTGTGTTTTCAGGTTATGGACGCGCTGAAACCCAGAAGTACTGGAACAGGTTACTTCCGGGTTTCGGCGCTCATGCATGCAAAGCACCAAATCGCGATCCACGTGTGCGCAGACGCGGCGCTGCGGGTTGCGAACGTGCCTCCCTCACGGATCACGTTTGCAACCCGAGGGTCCACTGTGTGTGTGTGTATATATTAAGCCAACCCATTTTATTTTTGAAACCTAGGAGGGAAGGAGGAGAGGGGGGATTGTTCCACCTGACAAGCTGAAAGACTTTGATTGGCAGAATGACCGTAATGACCAGCAATTGCCGAATTCCTTCCCACACGGCTGGAGAGGCACCCACTGCATGTTGGAGAGGGGGAACGCTCCGGGTCCTGCAAAGGACACAAGGAATATGAGCGGAGCAGCTACATACTCAGTTTCTGATGAATGCGCCGCAGTTCACTCTGCACAGCTTCCAGCTCCTCCCAAAGGAACTTCTTGCTGCAGGTTGAGGGAAGGTGGGTAGGGAGACGGGGAGAAAAGAAAGAAGGGAGAACTTCAAAACACAGTAATGGAGACTCACTGAGAAAGTAAGAGAGCAACACACTCCAGTTTGGTCTGTTGAAGGTCTCCAACATGGTGCATGGCACTTGTTCTGGGACTACAACTCCCATCAGCTCTAGCCACTATGAGCATAGTCAAGAATTATGGGAGTTGTAGTCCAACATCTAGAGTTGTAGTCCAACATCTAAAGCGTACCACCTTGGTTACATCTGGATTAAGATCATCCACCAAACTCCTTCCACTCCCACCTGACACCTAAGCCTGCTTAGATGTTTCAGTGGGTCTATGGAGACCCAGGTCAGCCAGGGGTGCCCTTGATCAAGTCTTCCTCCCAGTATTTATTTATTGAATTTATATACCGCCCTATACCCGGAGGTCTCAGGGTGGTTCATAGAAAAGATCACATTCTATAAAATCAAAATAAAAACAATAACCCAATAACACCCCCACCCTAAAAAAAGAGCCACATTTTAAAAGGGTATAGGATGTCAATCTGGTCAGCCAAAGGCCTGGTTAAAAGGGAACAGTTTTGCCTGGTGCCTAAAGGTGTCTAAGGAAGCTGCCAGGCGAACTTCCCTGGGGAGAGCATTCCACAGATGGGGAGCCACTGCAGAAAAGGCCCTGTTCTCGTGTTGCCACCCTCCGGACCTCTCAAGGAGGAGGCACACGAAGGAGGGCCTCAGAAGTTGGTCTCAGGGTCCGGGTAGGTTCATATGGAAAGAGGCGATCCTTGAGGTATTGTGGTCCTGAGCCATTTAAGGCTTTATAGGTCGAAACCAGCACTTTGAATTGGGCATGGAAACTAATTGGCAGTCAGCGCAGTCGGGCCAGGATCAGATATGCATTGGATACTGCACTGAGGACTGTGAAATATGACCTCGCACGCCACCCAACAGCCCCTTCCTTCTTCTCCCACCCCCTGTGTTTTCTCCCACCTCTCAAGGACTTCTTGCGACAGGTTCTCCATGGAGCTTTCCTTCTTGATCATGGATCCATGGAGTCCTTGGACCTCTCTGGTCATGACTTTCCATACATCCTGGATCCTTTTCTGGATGAGGCTATCAAACATCTCCCCATGAGGTGAGCGGGCAAAAAACTGCACCTCCTCTGGACAGGAAGAGACAAAGGAGTCGTTGGAGCAGAGCTTTCTAAGACCACCAAAGGAGAGGCAGGACAAAATGGCCTGCACTATTCTGAGGAGGCGGCAGGTATTCAGCACACCTTTGATCGACCTGCGCAAGTGTGGGGTTTCACATCAGGTGCAGAACTTAGCCTGCCAACATTCTTGGCTTTCGTTTTTTTAAATTATTGGGTTTCTTGCCCTTATGGCTGTGGAGAGAAGCTTGAAAATATATTGGTCTTGCTAGGAGAGCTGAGCAGGGTGGACTTCAGGAGGCTACAAAGTTCTTTGCAGAACGGAGGCGGAATAGAAGAATTTGGCCTTTCCGTGGTGCCACATTCCAGGTTTTCCTTTTAACAGAGTAGGGTAATTACCGTATTTTTTGCTCTATAAGACTCACTTTTTCCCTCCTAAAAAGTAAGGGGAAATGTGTGTGCGTCTTATGGAGCGAATGCAGGCTGTGCAGCTATCCCAGAAGCCAGAAGAGCAAGCGGGATCACTGCTTTCGCTGCGCAGCGATCCCTCTTGCTGTTCTGGCTTCTGGGATTCAGAATATTTTTTTTCTTGTTTTCCTCCTCCAAAAACTAGGTGCGTCTTATGGTCTGGTGCGTCTTATAGAGCAAAAAATGCGGTAATTTACAAAATCAATATCAACTGGCTACGTAGAATTGTGAAAAATACCCAACTCATTAGCACACACTGGAACACAGAGCATGACCTGCGATTAACATGGGGCATTGTAATAAGTTACTTTCCTCCAATTGTTCAAAGTCTTAGTCGTGATAGACTTGGGATCCTAAGGAAAACTGCACTAGGAATTTTTCCAGATGGAGTCACACTGAAATGAACGGATATTGCGATCTAGTTCACTTCTGTGGTGTTTCTATAGAAGACCTGCAGAAATTTCATAGCCATCAGGACCAGACACATTAAGACACCAGGCTTCATGGGGAATTCTGAACACACGGAATCCCCAAAGGTGAGCATCATTCCTCCTTTGCACAGGTAAGTGATGCCCCCTTTGGAGCTATACTAAATACTGAGCAGACCACATTCTGCAAAGCCGTAAGCAGCAGCGATACATTTTAAAGCCATGCTCCAGATTGGCTGGTGCTTAGGAGTCTCCACAATCCTTACCTTCCAGCTCTTTGATCCGACCTTGTTGCTGGTTGCTCTCCTGCTCCAACAAGGTGATTGAGTGGCTCAGTGCCTGAAAAGCCTGGCAGGAAAACATGGCACAGACAGGGTTAATGCACACAGCCACTGCCTTTGTGTTTAGGGAAGCTTTTAATGTTTGATGTATCACAGTATTTTAATATTCTTTTGGAATATTAAAATGGGCGGGGTATAAATAATAAATTATTATTATTATTATTATAGTAGTAGTAGTAGTAGGGACGTGGGTGGTGCTGTGGGTTAAACCACAGAGCCTAGGACTTGCCGATCAGAAGGTCGGTGGTTCGAATCCCCGCAACGGGGTGAACTCCCGTTGCTCGGTCCCTGCTCCTGCCAACCTAGCAGTTCAAAGGCACTTCAAAGTGCAAGTAGATAAATAGGTACCACTCTGGCGGGAAGGTAAATGGCGTTTCCGTGCGCTGCTCTGGTTCGCCAGAAGCGGCTTATTCATGCTGGCCACATGACCCGGAAGCTGTACGCCGGCTCCCTCGGCCAATAAAGCGAGATGAGCGCCGCAACCCCAGAGTCGGTCACGAGTGGACCAAATGGTCAGGGGTCCCTTTACCTTTAACTTTAGTAGTAGTGGTAGTAGTAATAGTAATATTTCATTTATACCCCACCCATCTGGCTGGGTTGCCCAAGCCATTCTGGGAAGCCTCCAAGACATGAAAACATAATAAAACAATCTGATCCAATATAAAAATCACAATAACTTTAAAATAAACAACTTATATCAAACAAAGCAACATTCAACAATCCATCAGTAATCTAACAGTAAACAGTAAAATTAAACACCAGCAAATAATAATTAAACAGCAGTTCAACCACAATAAAGAATTACCAATCTATAATCAACAGAAGTAACAGCAGATCACAATGCATAAAATACCACAGAAACATACAAAACCATGTAAAAGGGTCAAACTGAGAAACAAAGAAGCACAATTTATAAAACTATTTTTTTAAAAAAATATCCCTGAACTCTTTTCCCAGCTGCTGCTGCTGTTCTCAAAGTCATAGTCTGGGAAAGGCTAGGTGGGGCAAGGCAGGTGGTAATGCCATTGCCTGATGAGGAACAGAAAGTCTCTCTCCTCTGTGTTAGGGTACCAGCGCAGGGGAGAGCAGAGGCTGCAGAGTGGAAGGCAGCACTGGATGACTGGCATGAAGACACAGCCCTCTTGTAGTCAAGGTCCCTGACTTCACCACAGTGCAGAAAGAAAGCTCTTGCCTTCATGCTCTGCTTGTGAGCTTCCTGGAGGTTATCTGGTAACAACTACTACTACTGTACCACTATCATCATCATATTTATATTCCACCCATCTGGCTGGTTTCCCCAGCCACTCTGGGCGGCTTACAGCACATAAAAAATCGCAAAGCATTAGACATTAAAAACTTCCCTAAACAGGGCTGCCTTCAGATGTATTCTAAAAGCCAGATAGTTGTTTATATCCTTGACATCTGATGGGAGGGTGTTCCACAGGGCGGACACCACTACCGAGAAGGCCCTCTGCCTGGTTCCCCGTAATCTCACTTATCGCAGTGAGGGAACCACCAGAAGGCCCTCAGTGCTGGACCTCATGTCCGGGCAGAACGATGGAGGTGGAGACGCTCCTTTAGGTATACTAGGCCGAGGCCATTTAGGGCTTTAAAGGTCAGCACCAACACTTTGAATTGTGCTCGGAAACGTACTGGGAGCCAATGTAGGTCTTTCAGGACCAGTGTTATATGGTCTTGGCAGCCACTCCCAGTCCCCAGTCTAGCTGCCGCATTCTGGATCAGTTGTAGTTTCCGAGTCACCTTCAAAGGTAGCCCCACGTAGAGCGGATTGCAGTAGTCCAAGCTGTTGGCCATGTTCGATACATTTCCGATATTAACTGTGCTGCAATAATGTGGGAAAGGTTCCAGGTTAAATTCTTCCAAGTCTCCAAGTAGGGCTGGGAATGTTCTTTGCCTGAAACCCTAGAAATTACCTACCTGTTTCTGTAGCCAATGCTAAGCTCTATGGACCAATTATCTGACTCCTTCCCTTTCTACTAAGCCAAAGCTTCCCAACTCCAATGGTTAAATGCCCAGTGCTTTCCCAAATGTACCTGGATCAGAAACGAGAATCTTCCACAGCCTTACCTCCTCCCAAGACCTTACCTTGGTTTGAGCATGCAGCTGAGCTTTGATAAGATCCACTTCGTTTTTCACCATCATCTGGGATTCTGGGACCATCACTGCAAGAGAAAGGCAGCAGCTATGCATAAGAAACACCAGGGGTGGAATTCAACATCTGAAGCTCAGGCTAAAATCAGAAAGCCCAATTCTCTCTTTTTTATATGAAATTATTTATTTGGTTTTTCAAATTAAAATTTTACATATCCAACATACAACATAAAAACAAGAATCCAAAGAATCTCCTGGACTTTCCTCCTTCCCTTTGTGGGTCCTATTGTTAATCATTTCCTCCTGAATCTTTTATGATAATCCAAATCTTTTACATCTCCATTGTAGCCGAAATTCACCATTAAACTACAAATGTTATTTCAATCTTACTAACAATCTTAGCTGTTTACAGTGGTTATTATACCGTATTTTTCGCTTGATAACACGCACCCAACCATAACACGCATGTAGTTTTTAGAGGAGGAAAACAAGAAAAAAAATATTCTAAACGAAACAGTGGATGTATGATTTTTGTGGTTCATGCTGTGGCCACAGACATGTGATCTGACGGTGAGTTTGGGGTAGCCCAGTGCAAAAATCCTGAGGATCCATGTGGATCCATGTTTGTAACCACGTTTTTGCACCACTGCAGCCCCAGGCAACAGTGGGTGCATGATTTTTTTGGTGCAAACTGTAGCCATGGACATGCTATGTGATCTGATGGTGAATTTGGGGTGACCCAGTGCAAAAATCCTGAGGATCCACGTGGATCTGTGCTTTGTAACCACGTTTTAAGTGGGGAGGGAAGGAAAAGCACTCAAGGGACAAGAAGCATGTGTGGAGCAGGCTCTGCTTCTCTCCCGCCTCCCTCTCCCCCCCCCTTAGCAAGCTGAAAACCTTTGCTGGAGGGACAGAGAGCCTGCTTGCTTTAAAGGAGCCTACCGGACAGGAGCCGCTTACACGAGTGTAAGTGGCTCCTGTCCGGTAGGCTCCTTTAAAGCAAGCAGGTTCTGCTTCTCTCCCTCCTTAGCGAGCTGAAAACCTTTGCTGGAGGGACAGAGAGCCTGCTTGCTTTAAAGGAGCCTAAAGCAAGCAGGCTCTGCTTCTCTCCCTCCTCCCCTCCCCTTAGCGAGCTGAAAATCTTTCCTGCTATTTCCAGCAAAGCGGGAGAAGAGCCGCTGAGTGGGGAGCTGAGTGGGGACGAGCTTGCTTTAAAGGAGCCAACCGGACAGGAGCCGCTTACACCCGTGTAAGCGGCTCCTCTCCCTTCCCGCTTTGCTCCTTTAAAGAAGCAGGCACTCTGTCCCTCTCTCCTCCCCATTCAGCGGCTCTTCTCCCGCTGGAAACCACGGAGGAGGGAATACGCACACAGACATTTCCTTATTAAAAAATTTGTCTTCCTGATTTCTGATTCTTCTGGTCATTTTAGCCATTTTGGCATAATCCATCAACTTAATCTGCCAATCTTCTCTGTTAGGGACTTTATCTCCTTTATCTTCCATCGGAAGCCCGATTCTCATTGCAGCTGGAGCCTGGGACTGTAAACCAGAAAGTGTTGGTCCAGCTCTGCTGTTTTCCCTGCTTCCTTCCAGATCACCTCCAAGCGGGAGAGACACTTGGCCTTTCCACATTTATCCCCATCACCAGTCAACTAAGTTTCTGCAAGGTCACAAGGCAAAGAACATCACTTACCAGTTGGCTTCATAGTAGCTGTCTCAAGCTGGGTCTGGGCGTGCTGCACAAAAAGGAGCAAAATAATAATAATAATAATAATCACTATCTGCCTCATTCCAATAAGCTAACTCTTTAACAATGGTCCACAAGAACGCCAGAGAACCTGGTGGAGACATGTGGGATGGAATCAGATAGCCTGGCACCCAGTGTCTTTTCCTTGTCTTTATACTTTCCTGGGTGACCAGACAGGAGCTGATGACAGCATTCTGACAGTCAGGAACTGGGTTTCTCATGGGATGGATGCCTAAATCTTATAGGTTGTACAAGCATAAGCTATCCTTTCTAGATGGAGCAAGCTTGTTTTCTCCTGCTTCGGAGGACAGGACGCAAACCAATGCTTTCAAGTTACAAAAAAGGAGATTCCCTCTAAACCTCAGGAAACGTTCAGCAGTGGAATGGACTCCTCTGTAAGTCAGAAGCAGTGCTAGAGGGCGCAATCCTGCTTCTCCCTGTCGCATAGAGGGATAACGACTGAGCAGGCCATGGTTTACAGCAGGGTGGATTTGATTTAAATCAAATAGATTTAAATCATGATTTAAATCACTAGTCAGTAAGACTTGATTTAAATCAGTAAGACTTGATTTAAATGAAGCTCCGCCACTGAGCGCCCCCGTCCCCACATGTCCAACATCGGTAATGTTGGCAGTACAGCTTGGTGGGTGCAAATCTGCCTCCCTCTCACACACATGTCAGGGATAACCAGAACAGGCTTGCCTGCCCACCCGCAATGCCAGGACTGCAACAAGAAAATTCAAGCTGGCAATTCAAGTCACCTTCAAGCCAGATACTCAAGAGCCCGGGCTACAGTTGTGGCTTGTGGGTCACTTGCAGCTTTGGCAGGTTCTCTATTTAAGCAGTCCCCACCAAGGAGCCAGGATTGCCACTCCCAACCTTCCTTTAGTGGAACACAAGCACTTTCTGCCACCCTTTCGTGGTCCACCCACGGCACTTACCATTGGCATCGTGCTGCCTGCCCGAGACAGGCACCAGCTAGGAGAGAGGTTTCGGCACTTATCATCGTAGGAAACTGGCATCAACAATGGCTCCTGGGAGAGAAGGAGACAGAGTTTACATTTGATTTGGCAGGAGGGTCAGAGAAAGGAGGCCCAGACCAATAACCAGCAGAACGCTGGGACCTGAGCAGCGAGTCCCTATAGTGCCCCAGTCTCTTGGTTTCCAAGCCCCTGGACTGGAGGTGTGAAAACTTGCCACTAGGTGGTGCTGCAAGTTTTTATTCCCAGCGCCTACAACTGAACATCAGACGGACGCGGGTGGCACTGTGGGTTAAACCACTGAGCCTAGGACTTGCCGATCAGAAGGTCAGCAGTTCGAATCCCCGCGACGGGGTAAGCTCGGTCCCTGCTCCTGCCAACCTAACAGTTTGACAGCTCGTCAAAGTGCAAGTAGATAAATAGGTACCGCTCCGGTGGAAAGGTAAATGGTGTTTCCGTGCGCTGCTCTGGTTTGCCAGAAGCGGCTTAGTCATGCTGGCCACATGACCCGGAAGCTGTACGCCGGCTCCTTTGGCCAATAAAGCGAGATGAGCGCCACAACCCCAGAGTTGGTCACGACTGGACCTAATGGTCAGGGGTCCCTTTACCTTTACCTTACAACTGAACATCAGCTTCAGCCATTGCAAAGTCTGGAGAAGGGAATCTCCTGCACAGTTGTCTTAATATATGTACAAGTAGAAGGGCTTAAGAGAATTAGTTTCAATCATTTTAGAGAAAGGCTTGTTCAGAGAAAGAAATATCCCACTAAGCTATTTGAGAGATTCTTCCTCTTTTTGCCTACAGGCCTGACTGGGTGGAGGTCGTGTGCATGAAATTAAGTATAAATAGGCAGCTACAGCAATTTATTATTATTATTATTATTATTATTAAATTGTATAAGTTGTATCTTTGCTTTCGATGTGCATTGTGATGTTTTATGCACTGCGAGTTGCTGTTATTGTTATTGATTACAGTTTAGAACAGTGTTTCCTGAAGGGGGCGGGTCACCATTTGCTCTGATTTATGACTAAACAGCGGTTTCCCCCTCAAAAGCATGATTCAAGCAGAGAACTGCACAGGGTCCCTTCTTTCTAGGCATGGGAGACCTCAGATTTGCTTCTTAAAACCGCCTGAAACAGGCAAGGAGGCAGCAGCTGCCTTGGTCAGGCGCCTCTTCCAACCAGCAGCAGATTCCTTTTGAGGGCGGGGTGTATAATTTGTATTAAGTTTTTCTATTTTACATTTTAGACTATTCATTTGAGCAACCTTAAAATATCAGTGGCTTCCCTTCTCCTCCTTCCACGGTTCAATTTGCACGCCATAGATCCCTGCATATTTTACATAAACTAAACCATTCAGTAATCCATTGTTAAATCAACAAAAACATATTTATGGTACACTGTTGAACTTATCTTAACGCTGCCAACGTTTTCAAACGTACACAATTATTTCCCATATATTCAATAAACGTTTTCCAGTCTTCTTTACATGTATGTTCTTCTTGTCCTCTTATTCTATAAGTTAAGTCTGCCAGCTGCACCGATTCCATCAGTTTAAGTTGCCATTCTTCTTTAGTTGGGACATCGCTCGTTTTAACATTTTGGGGCTAACAAAACACGGGCGCAGTAGCGGCATACATAAATAGCCTTCTTTTTTTTGAAACCTGGGAATTTCCATCTGAATTATCCCTAACGAAAAGGACTCTTTTTTGTGTGTGTTGTTGTTGTTCTTGTGTGTGTATGTTTTGGAAAGTACTTTCCCAAAAAGATACTTTCCCAACCACCACCAGCTTCCATGGCTGGCCGAGTGCCTGGAATGGACATGATGCTCAGAGCTTCGGGAGGAGAGCGCCCCTTGATCCGGATCCTGCGCCGATTCTGGCCCCCCAGGTACCTTGCCCCCGGCGGATGCTATTCTTTCCCACCCCATCTCCCCCTCTTTTACCGTCGTGGCCAACACCACCTCCTCTCTCGAGTCCATCGCGCGGCTCTGCCCCGAGCGCCCTCCACTTGCCCTGCCGGGCGCAGACAGGAGCTGCCTGAGCGCAGCCCGAGGGATCCCGCGCGCCGCCTCCCGGCGTGTAACAAAGGGGCGTGGCCCCTCGTGGCCTCGCCTCCCTTCATGACGCTGCTGTTTAGCACAGCCACACACCCCCAATTGCGATCCGCCTCCGTGGGGCGGAGTCTTGGTTACCGTGCTGCGGAGGAGCTCGGCCGCCAGGGAGGAAGAAGCGCACCAGGTAGGGGAGGCGCGATCTCGGGGTCCGGCGTGGAAGGGGACGGGGCGGGGGTGCAGGAGCATCGAAGCCCCCCTTTTCCTAGCGCACCCCGTCTTTTTTTTAGGGGTGGCGGGGAGTTCCAACGACCCCACCCCCGATTTCCCTCCCGCCTCCTTCCGATGCTCGAAACGCGTCTTCTTGCAAATGCTACAGTCGGGGCGGGGGCTGCAGGAACATGGAAGCCCCTTTTCCCTCTCTCCCCTCCACCCAGAGAAGCCAGTTCCTAGGGGCCGAAGGGTCTTTGCACGCACATCCCCATATAAAAAAATTGGAGGGGGCTGCACCTCGTCTTGAGATCGATTGTGCGGGGCGGGGTTTAACTGGGCCGCCCCAATATTTCATTTAATTCAAGTTGGCACCCCTGCCCCCCGCCTCTTGTAGGGGTGCGGGAGTGGGAGGGGTTTTCCAACAGCCCCCCCCCTTGCGTTTCTTACTCCCGCGGGCCAGCAGCCCGGCCCGCTTCCTTCCAACGCTCGACACGCGTCTTTCTTGCAAATACCGCCAGAGGCTTGAGCTGCCGTCATGGTGTTGTGTTGTTTGCGCTTTCTCTGGAGTAAGCCTCGCTGAAATAGCAGGATCTTGCCTCCGCTGACACGAGATGGGTTTCGTAACGACCAGACGGCTACTGGCGCCTCCTGTTCGTGGTGGCATTACAGTGGTACCTCGGGTTACATACGCTTCAGGTTACAGACTCCGCTAACCCAGAAATAGTGCCTCAGGTTAAGAACTTTGCTTCAGGATGAGAACAGAAATCGTCCTCTGGCGGCGCAGCAGCAGCAGGAGGCCCCATTAGCTAAAGTGGTGCTTCAGGTTAAGAACAGTTTCAGGTTAAGAATGGACCTCCGGAACGAATTAAGTACTTAACCCGAGGTACCACTGTAATAATAATAATAAATTTTATTTATACCCCGCCCTCCCCAGCCAAGGCCAGGCTCAGGGCGGCTAACAAGCAATAATAAAAACCAGGTTGAATGAATACAACTTAAAAACAAGATTAAAATACAGCAAAAGCGGGTCTTAACCCCATTTCGTTTACTGCTATAGAATGAGTTGGCAACCTCCCACAAGGGGGTGTTAACTTGAATAAAATATTGGGGGACAGCAGGTAATCATCGCAGAATTGATCACATGACATAGCACACACGTACCATTTGAATGGCAGTGTCCATTAACTTTTGGGGAGAGGAGAAGACACCCCAGCCCCTAGGATTTGGCTCCTATGTTCCCACCTGCCAGCCCACCACCTTCTTTGTGCTCGTGCTCCTGGCATGCAGGAAAGTGTCTGCCCTTTGCTTTTGGACTTTATCCCCATCCCTTCCGTCCCACTCACCGCCATGCGCCCTGCACAGGAAACACAGCACCCTTGGGTGGGGAGGGCCAGAAGGGAGCAGCTGGCCAGGACCCCTGGGATCCATTCCAGCAGACTTCTATAACCCTGGGGCTGTCCGCCTCTTCACCCCCTGCCAGGCAGCAAGGTTTGTGTACACCAGGGGTCAGCAAACTTTTTCAGCAGGGAGCTGGTCCACTGTCCCTCAGACCCTGTGGGGGGCCGGACTATATTTTGGGGGGGAAATGAACGGATTCCTATGCCCCACAAATAACCCAGAGATGCATTTTAAATAAAAGGACACATTCCACTCATGTAAAAACACGCTGATTCTTGGACCGTCTGTAGGCCGGATTTAGAAGGTGATTGAGCCGGATCCGGCCCCTGGGCCTTAGTTTGCCTACCCATGGTGTACACACTTCAAAGCACATGCTTCCCCCTCAAAGGATTCTGTGAACTGTAGTTTGTTAAGGATTGCTGGGAATCACAACTATGGTTGTGTCTGCGTTGTTTGAGGAGGAGAATGTGCTTTCAAAAAAGTCATATTGCTTGGTTTCCTTGAACACAACAGATCTGACTTTGGAGTAAACATACAGTTTTGAGCTGGGAACGGAACAGCTCTGGCTGACCTCCAGTGGTGTTTTTGTTTTGTTTTGAAATGGAAAAGCAATTGCGGAATCCTGGGATTCTACAAAACTGCATTTTGGGCACCATCCAGACCTCCCTTAGGAGAAAAGAGCAAAGGCTTTTGGAGGCAGTGTGGGCTGTTGGGAGTGAGTCACGTGAAACTTAGTCAGGCTTGCATTTATGTTGTGCTTTTGGCAGAGCTGGACTCCCATGAGGTTGAGTTGGGGGGCTGCCTTGGGGGGGCAGGGGAGCAAGGGTGGAGTGTCGGGCAGAGCGGCGTCTGCGACATGGCATGCCCAGTAAGCTGGACTGCTTCCCTCCCTTGTGTGTCCCTCCAGGATGCACCAGTATATTGAATGGGAAGGGTGGAACACTGTCTTGATAATGGATTTATATAAGGCTTACCTGCCCAAATGGCTCCTAAGAGGTTTACTATAAAAGCAGTTACAAAAAAATAGAGCAGCACGTAATTCAAATGCACAATAAAACTAATTCGTTAAAATAAGCGCCCTTCATTAAAAAGTAGGGTAGGCCATTATCATACGACGTAACAATTAGAACAGCTAAAACAAGTGGTTAAAACAATTAAGATAGGAAGTTCGTGCACAAGGTGAGGGTAATGCTTGTCCGAAGCGCTACATCTTCTTTCAGACAGAACTGATGGGGCCTCTCGCATTTCAGCAGGGAGACTATTCCACAGCGTTGGGGCCACCACAGAAAAGGCCTGCCTCCATGTTACCCCAGGGTTAGAAACTGAGACATGAAAGCTAGGAGCTAAATGGCACCTCAAACCTGGGTTATGGACGCAGCAACGGAATGCCAAGGCGTGCTTTTTTATAACGAGAACACAAAGCTGGAAATGAACAAACTGCAGCTAAAATATTAACTTCATTTTTCACATGGTCCAGTCCTTCCCCTGCCCATCCCCCCAATATTCTTAAGAGGCTCTCTTCTCCGGTCTTCAGAGAGTAGCTGGAAGCGGGGAGGCAGAAAAATGTCCTTTCCTTCCACTCTGCAGTTTGAAATCTTAGGCGCAGTACTGCGCCCAGAGCTCAGAAATTGCTCGCGCTCATGAAATTCCCTGTCGCAAAATGCGCCTAGAATGGGAGTTTCGAACACTGTTTTACCCCAATCATCCAGCTGTGGTAGAACCACTTGTTCAGCTACATGCCCTTACAATGGAGGGGAGGAGAGTACTGCCTGTTTTGGGTAAGAAGGCTTTATATGAGGGTAAAGGTAAAGGGACCCCTGACCATTAGGTCCAGTCGTGACCGACTCTGGGGTTGTGGTGCTCATCTCACTTTATTGACCGAGGGAGCCGGCGTACAGCTTCCGGGTCATGTGGCCAGCATGACTAAGCCGCTTCTGGCGAACCAGAGCAGCACACGAAAACGCTGTTTACTTTCCCGCCGGAGTGATACCTATTTAGCTACTTGCATTTTGACATGCTTTCAAACTGCTAGGTTGGCAGGAGCAGGGACCGAACAACGGGAGCTCACCCCATCGCAGGGATTCGAACCGCTGACCTTCTGATTGGAAAGTCCTAGGCTCTGTGGTTTAACCCACAGCGCCACCCGCGTCCAGGATCTTAAGACTGGATTGGTGGTTAAGAGCCGGCCACTGTGACAGATCCTGTAATGTTGGTGTAATAGGTGATCGATAATGGGCTCTGTTTACCAGCTAGGTTGCGGCATTCTGTGCCAGCTGCAGACTCTCCAGAACAAGGGAAGCCCCACGAAGCACACATTACAGTAGTCTAAATGTGAGGCTACCACTAGAGCTGGGTGTCATCAGCACACACGGGTGACACCATTCCCGAAACCTCCTGATGGCTGCGCCCAGTGACTTCATATAGTGGCACTGGAGACAAAACAGTGCCCTGTGGCACCCTGTTTTCTAAGGCCAGCCATGCAGGTATGAGTGGAGCGACCATAAAACAATGCCTTCCAACTCGCAACCAGTTCAGGAGCATAGCATGGTCAGGGTCTGCAAAATGCCTTGAGTCTGCTCTGCTTTTGAGTATTTAAAGTACTTCACATCTCCCATATTGTGAAGTAAGTTAGTCTTATTATCCCCATTCCATGGATTAAGAAATTAAGATATAATAAGGGAACATTCTTTCATATGTGGTGGACTTGTAAAAGGGTAAAAGATTATTGGGAAATGACCCATAACGAATTGAAAAAAATGTTTAAAAGTACTTTCTCCCCCCCCCCCCAAACCCCAGAGTCCTTTCTGTTGGGAATAATTCAGACTGAAATTCCCAGGTGTCAAAAAAGGTCATTTATGTATGCCGCTACTGCGGCCCGTGTTTTGTTAGCCCAAAAATGGAAAACAAGCGAGGTCCCAACCAAAGAAGAATGGCAACTTAAGTTGACAGACTATGCGCAGCTTGCAGACCTAACATATAGAATAAGAGAACAAGAAGAACATACGTTTAGAGAAGACTGGAAAACGTTTATTGAATATATGGGAAATAATTGTGTACAGCTGAAAACGCTGGCAGCATTAAGATAAATTCAACAGTGTAAATAAGTTTTGATGGATGCCTTAATGGAATAGTGAATGGTATAGTTTTTATAAATATGCAGGGATTTATGATATTTAAAATGAACCATGGAAAGCGAAGAAGGGTAGTCGTAGATATCTTAAGGATGTAAAAATGAGTACCGTATTTTTCGCTCTATAGAACACACTTTTTCCCCTTCAAAAATGAAGGGGAAATGTGTGTGCGTCCTATGGAGCGAAGAAGCCATAACCCCGCGACCCTCTCCCAGCTGGAGAGGTGACGTGCAGCTATGGCAGGAGCCTCTTTAGCCGCACACCACATCTCCAGCCAGGAGAGGGTCGCGGGGGGCTTCTTTAGCTAAAGAAGCCCCCGCGACCCTCTCCCGGCTGGAGAGGTGACGCGCGGCTATGGCAGGAACCTCTATAGCCGCACGTCACCTCTCCAGCCGGGAGAGCGCGCGCGCGGCTAAAGCACCCCCCCCCGCGACCCTCTCCCAGCTGGAGAGGTGACGCACGACTATGGCAGGAGCCTCTCCGCTGTGCGCCTTTCCCCGCTCCCCGACCTGCTCTTTGGGGCTGGTGGTGGGCTTCCTCCTGCCAGCCCCAAAGAGCAGGTCGAAAGGAACCTGAAGCCTGGAGAGCGAGAGGGGTCGGTGGGCACCGACCCCTCTTGCTCTCCAGGCTTCCAAGGTAGCTGCCTGAAGGCGACTGAATGCACCTTAAATGGCACCTTGTTTTAGAGGGGGAAAACAAGAGAGGGAAAATTCTCCCCCTCTCTGCGCAGCGCCTCCTGCCGCTTCACTGAAGGGGCACTGGGCAGAGAGGGGGAGAAATTTTTTTCTTGTTTTCCCCCCTCTAAAACAAGGTGCGTCCTATTGTCCGGTGCGTCCTATAGAGCGAAAAATACGGTACTTTAAATTGTAAAACAGAAAATTCAATAAAAATTATGTACAAAAAAAGAAATTCAGATATAATGGCTCCTTAAAACCAGGGTTACTGTCGCCAAAACGCAATGCCTAGTTGCCATTTGGGGGCCAGATGGTTCGAAAGTCGTCATTTCGATAACAACTTTTTGGTTCCCGACATTCATTATACGGATTATACGGATGAAATATCACAGATGGAATTCTACAGGATGTGTTGCTAGTGTGTGAAAACAGTCAAGATCCAAGGATCCCCAGGCATGCATAGCTCCAGATGGTGGAGACGTCAGGCGCCATCTTGGCAGCCGGGCATCCTCACTTGGTCACAAGTGGGCAATAGCCAACTGCAAAATACACCTGGCCAATTTTGAATGGTGGAAGGGGACTGAGGCTGGGGGTGGGGTGGGGTGGGGAAGTTGCCTAAGACCACCTGGCGAGATCATGGCAGAGGTGAAATTCAAACTTGGTCACTGTGGCACAACTGCTTTCAGTAAACACAAGACCAGATCGCTTTGCACGTGACTCCTGTGTGGGTCCTGGCCTCTCCCATCTCCTCTTATCACCTTCTGCCAGCTGCCGTTTGGAACAGTGTGGGGAAGGCAGTAGAAACTTACCCAGGCCTTCTGAGCGTTTGTTTTTCAAATGCTAATGATTTTTAATACTGTTAGCATGATGTGAGCGGATGATTTCCTTCCCAGTGCCATTACAATACGTGATTCACAGCTCAGTAAAACATACAAAAACAGAAACATCTGTTCTTCGAGCCAACGTGTTGAAAATAAAATAAACGAGGAGAAAAACAGTTGCAATAATTAACCAAAATATTGAAAGAACTTCTGTACTGTTGCTGATTCCTTGGATAGTCTTGATATACAGTGGTACCTCGGGTTACATACGTTTCAGGTTACAGACGCTTCAGGTTACAGACTCCGCTAACTCAGAAATAGTACCTCGGGTTAAGAACTTTGCTTCAGGATGAGAACAGAAATTGTGCTCCAGCGGCACAGCGGCAGCAGGAGGCCCCATTAGCTAAAGTGGTGCTTCAGGTTAAGAACAGTTTCAGGTTAAGAACGGACCTCCGGAACGAATTAAGTACTTAACCCGAGGTACCACTGTACAGCGCATTCAGTTATATATCCCTAGTAGTCTCTGCTCATCTTCCTCTCTTATCAGGAATTGTGTATATATTTTTAAGCTCTTGTGTTCTGATTCATGGGGTATTTCCTGTGTTGCAACTAACCATATCCCCCCATCTTGGCTTGCCATAGCACAAAGAGCAATGCACTTTTAGAGCACAACAACTTTATACTGATTATAGCTCATCTTGCCAGAGAGCAAAGGAGTCGTCTGAGTAAGAGTTTCCTGCTGTCTTTGGGCTGGGGCTGAAGAGAAAGATGAAGGGCATTGTGCTAATATCTGTGAAAGCTGTCACAATGCATAAGGCTGCCCTGCTGAACTGACCTGTTCCCTGCTTCCTTCATTTCCATCCATGGCAACGGAGTTAAGAACACGAGAAGAGCCTGCTGGGTCCAGCCAAGAGCTCCCTGTAGCCCAGCATCCTGTTCTCGCAAGGACCAACCAAATGCTTATGGGGAGCGCATAAGCAGGATGTGGGTCCAACTGCCCTCTCCTTCCCTGTGGCTCCTCGCAGCGGATACTCAGAGGCATTCTGCCTCCGACACCATTATGTTAGGCTGACTGAGACTTGCCAGAATCCCTTTCTAGATGTTTCTTGAGGTTCCATGTTCTTTTGAGTATTTCTGACCCTGTTAATTTCTGGAGCTGACTGCCATCCTTCTGTGGTCAGGCTAAGGTCAGCCAAGTTCCCAAGGTGGACTGCTGTGATCACCATAAAACACACACAGAGAGAGAGAGAGGGAGAGGGGAGAAGGTCCGTATGTCCTATTCATTTACAGTGGTACCTCGGGTTACAGCCGCTTCAGGTTACAGACTCCACTAACCCTGAAGTAGTACCTCAGGTTAAGAACTTTACCTCACGATGAGAACAGAAATCGCGCAGCAGGTTAAGAACAGTTTCAGGTTAAGAACGGACCTCCAGAACGAATTAAGTTCTTAACCAGAGGCACCACTGTACTGCTGTTCTCATTCCTGAAGGAGCGTCTCCACCCCCATCGTTCACTGAGATCCAGCTCCGAGGGCCTTCTGGCGGTTCCCTCACTGAGAGAAGTGAGGTTATAGGGAACCAGGCAGAGGGCCTTCTTGGTAGTGGCACCTGCCCTGTGGAACGCCCTCCCATCAGATGTCAAGGAAATAAACAACTTTTAGAAGGCATCTGAAGGCAGCCCTGTTTAGGGGAGTTTTTTATGTTTGATGTTTTATTGTGTTTTTGGTGTTCTGCTGGGAGCCACCCAGAGTGGCTGGAGAAACCCAGCCGGATAGGTGGGGTATAAATAATAAATTATTATTATGATTATCACAATCATCTCCGTTTCTCTCTGCCCAGTCTTAGGTCTCTTACTGCAGAGATGGCAACAGAGGGGGAGCCGAGCAGCTATGTCAAAATCATCCAGCTTTTTGTGCTCTCCACAGCCTGGGGGATGCAGATATGGGTTACCTTTATTGCAGGTACGTTTCCCCAGGGGGGTGGGACAAAGCTTACTTGAATTTTTAGCCTGCCCGGGGAGGAAATGGTATGTGCTCCTCGGATCCTTTTCTCCAATGCAGCTCTTCCTAACCTGGTGCCCTCCAATTTGGACTACAAAGCAGCTGCTGGAGAAGGCCTCTGTAACACATTCGTTTCAGATCCTGTTGTGCCCACTGCCTTTCACTTCCAGAACTCAGGGCTTATTCACACCTTTGTTTGCCCTGCTGCTTTGCCCAGTGCCAGATTTACGTATAAGCTAAACAAGCTATAGCTTAGGGCCCCACTCTCTTGGGGGCCCCCCAAAAAAATTTAAAGGAAAAAAACCTGGGTGTATATTTCCAAAATATAAAATAACAAATAAAATAAAACCTACATACAGCAGCAGTGTTTTGTATTGTATAGGCTCCTGTGATGTAAGTCATGGGCCCCGCCTGCTAGCCTGCTCCCTAAAATATCACTGGTTTGCTTATTTCTATATACAGTATAGGGTGCCTACGTTCTGCTATTTAGAATTATTAGTAGTTTGCATCATATATTTACACCTATTATAATTTTATGTTATAGCAAGATTCTAGAGACTAGATTATGAGTCTTTGTAAATTGTGTTTCTAAAGGAACTTTTGTTATTGCCAAATGCCAACGTGTTTGCATTACTAAGTTTGTTAGGAATAAAAAATCATTTTAAGTTAGAGCTTAATAATTATTTCCACTATTAATATACTTCTTAATTGTATTTCAGTTCAACAATTACTTTGATAAAATACATATTTTGTTAGGTGCAAATGACTTTAGATACCTATTAGGTCCATAAATTACCATAGAGCATATTTTCAACACGAAAAACAGCAACAATTTGTTGTTGACAGATGGACATATAAAGGGTCCCATTACCTTCAGTAGCTTAGGGCCTCATCAAACCGAAATCCGGCCCTGGCTTTGCCCTTTGGTTTAGCAATGAATGGGGGGGGGCAGCCACTGGGTTTTCCACGGACTGCCGTTTCTTCTGATGTAGCACTAAATAGCAGGTTTTCTGGGGCAAGCAGTGAGGCAAAGACAGAATCACTTGGACACCTGCCTTAGAAAAGCACAGGACAAGTGAAGAATCGCTTGGACCTGTGCTCTCCAGGCCCAGGACAATTGGAAGTGTGGACGAGCCCTTTGTCCACCTGCTGTAACCCACTCCCTTCTCTCGCCTGCGCAGGGTTTGTTCTCTTCCGGGGTGTGAGCCGCCATACCTTTGGCCTGGTGCAAAGCAAGCTGTTTCCTTTCTATTTCTACACCCTGCTTGGCTGCACCTTCCTCAACCTGGCCATCTTCGCTTCGTACCACCCGCGGGAGCTTCTCAGCGCCTGGGATACAGTCCAGGTAGGTACCAACCAGTCATCTACAAATATTGCAGCTTTTCATTTGGGGCCTGTGGGCAGGAAGTGCTCCTTCATGTAGCTTCTTGAGAACGTCACAAGTTAGCTATGGACCTTCTGTCACGGTCCAGTTCACGGGCGATTGAAGTCCTGGCTGGGGATGTCGGGACCAGGGGCAAGATGGCGGGATGAGAGCAGGAATGGGAGTCCAGAAACCAGGAGTCAGAAAGCCAAGAGTCTGAGGGTCAGAGAGCTTGGAGTCAAGAAGCCAAGGGTCAGAGGGTAAGGAAGCAAGGAGTCACGAAGGCAGGGGTCCGAGGATCAAGAAGCAAGGAGTCACAAAGTCAGGGGTCCGAGGATCAAGAAGCAAGGAGTCAGGGGTCCGAGGATCAAGAAGCAAGGAGTCCAAGGCAGGGAATGTGTTGCTGTGGCAAAGAGCTGAAGGGAAAATGCTGACCTTATATCCCTTCCCAGGTCTTGCCACCAGGTGCTGTGAGTTACCAATCGGCCTCACCTATGTGGCCGCGCCTTGCCTCTTCAGAACAAACTTAGGAAGGCCCCAGTCCTGCAGAGTCCTATTGGTCACAGGGCCTGGCTCCTGCACACACACCTGACACCTGCAGTTTGAAGGCGTGAGCCCCTCAAACCTACAAGCCAGTGTTGATGCTGCGAAAATGCCTTCCTCTGTGGAATAAACCTGGCCACTTCACTGTTCAATGTGTGTCTTTTAGAAGACCTCGTCTTTCCTTCATTCGTATTTCGTATGGAATTTCCCTCACCCTGCAAGGCCTTTCTGTCCTGTGATCCTTTGCAGGATTTCTCCATGTTCTTCCTGCCTCCCTAGTTCCATCACAGTGCAGGCAGGCTTAGGCCTAAGGCAGGGGTCGGCAAGGTTTACCTCGCCTGGGCCAGTTCACTCCAGCACAGATCCCTCCATGGGCCAGATCACGCCCGCGATTTCCAGTGTCTGTGCAGACGTGATTTTCGGCACCGCGGAAGCGAGTCCCTGTGCCGCGCTGCGCCAGTTTAGCACAGTGGGCGGGGACTCACCAAGCAGGCGGCCCAGTTTGGGGGCGGCTTGGGGGCCGGTTAAACGACCCCCATGGGCCGCTTGTGGCCCATGGGCCCTCGGTTGCTGAACCCTCGCCTAAGGCAATCACGATGCATTAAAAAGTTTTATATTTATAAAGGAACCTGAAATCTACTCCTCCTTATTCAACCCTGCTGCTACATAAACCTCTGCCCACCCCCAAACACTTTAAAATTATTTGTAATTCAATCTTAGAACATCATTTACCATAAAGACTATTGTGTCATATGAGGAAGGTGGGAAACAAAATACAGTGGTACCTCAGGTTACATACACTTCAGGTTACAGACTCCGCTAACCCAGAAATAGTACCTCGGGTTAAGAACTTTGCTTCAGGGTGAGAACAGAAATTGTGCTCCTGCGGTGCGGCGGCAGCGGGAGGCCTCATTAGCTAAAGTGGTGCTTCAGGTTAAGAACAGTTTCAGGTTAAGAACGGACCTCCGGAACGAATTAAGTACTTAACCCAAGGTACCCTGTATACAGGGATGCAGGTGGTGCTGTGGGTTAAACCACAGAGCCTAGGGCTTGCCGATCAGAAGGTCAGCAGTTTGGATCCCCGCGATGGGGTGAGCTCCTGTTGCTCGGTCCCTGCTCCTGCCAACCTAGCAGTTCAAAAGCACGAAGTGCAAATAGATAAATAGGTACCACTCTAGCGGGAAGGTAAACGGTGTTTCTGTGCGCTGCTCTGGTTCGCCTGAAGCGGCTTAGTCATGGTGGCCACATGACCCGGAAGCTGTACACCGGCTCCCTCGGCCAATAAAGCAGGATGAGCGCCGCAACCCCAGAGTCGGTCACGACTGGACCTAATGGTCAGGGGTCCCTTTACCTTTACCACTGTATAACATTCCAGCAAGGAAAGCAGTCCTTTGTATCTGGAAGGCTGATGTGAGGAAGAGGAGCAGTTTTTACCTTGTGTGCTGCAGCTACTCAAGACACAGTCGGTTTCATGAACAGCTACCTCCCCGTTTCTTAAACCCGAGAGCATCAGGAAGAAATGTGAGCAGTCCAGCTCTGGAAAAACCTGTTCAGAGTGGCCATGGAATCTCTTTGTTGGTAAGGCATTGAAGTACAGCCTATCCTTTTAGAGGACAGGAGGTAGGACTATTGATCTACCAGATAGGAGCCATAGGTAAAAGGTAAAGGACCCCTGGACAGTTAAGTCCAGTCAAAGGTGACTATGGGGTTGTGGCGCTCATCTCGCTTTCAGGTCGAGGGAACCGGTGTTTGTCCACATTCAGCTTTCCGGGTCAAAAACCAGGAGCGTTGCGATTGACCATAATCAGTCTCAGGTTCCGCCAGTCAATCGACATGTTGTACATGCCCAGGTTATGCTATTAGAAATACACAGAACGATAATTATGAAATTATTGTGAGGTTTAATAAATTAACCGTATATATTTGGACAGCTTTTCTGCTGTACTTTATTGGAAGGAGAAAAATAATCATTTCCTTAAGAACAATTTAATCAATTTATTTAACTAAAGCAATAACATTATAGAATATGTCTCCATGTTTGTTAACTGATGTGGTTAAACAATTAAAACAAAAAAACTTATACTGAGTTTTAGCACGCATGAAAAACTTAAACATATCCTTATTTCCTGGTGAACAGCCTTTGGACTATAATGTAACTTAAATAGAAAACTATCTTTAGAAAGATTTTTCCTCCAAAAGCATTTTATTTTTAATTTTTGTTTTCTTTCTTTCTTTCTTTCTTTCTTTTTTGAAGTTTTATTCGAGTTTGGGATTTTTACATACATTATATTATCTCCTTCCAATTTTAAATTTCCTGTACAATTTTCTCCTTTCCCTCCCCACCCCCCCATATCCATTGGAAGGGTTCAAACTATTATCCTCAGCCATGGGCATAGCGTCTTTAGTTTCCACCGAATGTCTTTTGTTCCAGTAGTTTTTATCCATTGAAGATAGGGTTTTTCCATCTGTTCCTTATCGTGGTGGACTTGACCTTCCACGTTGTTTCCTGTGACATGACCTGTCAGGGAACTGCCATCAGTACTGGAGGGAGAGCGCGAAAGCCAGAGGGATTCCAGAGAGCGCCCAGGGATCGGGAGAAGCAGCCCATCTTCTGGGGAAGAGAATCAGCGTAGCACCAGTGGAGAAGGGGGGCAAGTGGGAGAAGTGGCGAGGCGGTCCCATGACTCCTTGCCTGGGACCAGCGGGGAGACTAGGGGTCCTCCGTTGCCCACGCCCTCCCGGCGCAGAAGGCTTCCGCGCAGAGAGGGTAGGCGGAGACTAGGCGTCAAAGAACTTCTTTGCTGGAGGAAGTTTAAGAAACGCCCAGTCACGGATTCTGCCAGCGATTGAGACAGCCACGGGCGAGTGGCTGTCCGGACAGAGGAGGTTCACTTCGGCAACCCGGCCAGGTGTTTGCACCCAGCCAGGAAGATAGGCACCTGCTTACGCTCAAGCAACCCCCTTAGGAACCATTACATGACCAAAAGCATTCTATTTAAAAATCCACTTTAAATTTTTAAGAAATCTGATTTAAATAAAAAAACCTGAATTAAATTTTAAAAATCTGATTTAAATAAAAAAATTGAATTAAATTTTAAAAATCTGATTTAAATAAAAAAATTGAATTAAATTTAAAAAATGAATTAAATAAAAACAATCTTCATGATGTTTTTTTAAAAAAAATAATAATTGATTTTTATCCACCCAGGTTTTACCCCAGAATTCCAGAAAAGGTCACAGTATACCTTGTATCTCCTCTGCAGATTGTGTCCTTTTTTATTGGCCTCATTCTGGCAGCTTCCAATGCTTCCTGGCTCTCCCAAGTAACCACCAAGACCATGTTCAAGATGCAAGAGATTGAAAGGGAGCACGGCCTCGGGGACGAAGTGGGTCTGTCGGCTCGGCGGGAGGCTTACCAGCTTCTGAAGGAGAAGGATGCCAAGTACCAGAGCCTGCGCCAAAAGTTCTTCAAGTTCCACGGCCTGTCCTCTCTCTGCAACTTGGCCGGCGTCTTCTGCACCGGGGTGAATTTGGCATGCCTAGCACTGCAGCTGGACAGCCTTTAGACTGCAGGGGGCGCTCTACCCATCCGCTCCTCCTGTCGCTATAGGATTGTTTTCTAAGGCACAAAACCGAACTTTCTCTCGAAGCAAAGATGACAGCCTGTATTCTGAGCTATGATTGACCACTTGGAGAGAAGGAGTTTGACAGCAGCCAGAAATCAATTCATTGGAGTGAATGGGTGTGGGGGAAACTACCCACTCCCGAAACAGCGAGATTTTTCCCTCTCCCTGAAGGACAGAATTGGATAATCTGTGTTGCAATCTAGAATAAAGCCTGTTTGGTCATATTCCTCAGTGCCCAGACCTCTGGGTCCCCTCCAACTCTTTAAGATTCTATGCTCTTGTTTTGGACACTTTTGCATAAATAAAAGCCATTACTATTTCTGCATCTCAGATTGCCTAGCAGCCATTTTTTAAAAATAGTTTTTATTATCACAAAATACTTATATAAATACCAATCCGCCCCCCAACCACGACTTCCCTCAACTTCTTCTTCTGGTTCTTTAAATATTTGCTTCTCCTGCCTGTCTTATTCTACCTTAATTTTGTAATCTTTTAGTTAAATATTGTTATATTCTTATCATTTTTGTACCATATTTTTTCAAATTACACCTTACATTTTGTTATTTTCCCTATTATTACATCTTACCCTTGTACTTTTAATGCTTGTTTTCTTAATTGCAAGTGCTTACTCAAACTCTGCTGGTGAGTCCACTTCTTTACGATGTTTCTGTAAGTACAACATAAACGATTCAGTCCTTTTTGAAATCTCTATTGTCCTTCTCTCTTAATTTTCCAGTTATTTTCAGCATATTCCATCAGTTTTTCTTGCCATTCTTCTTTCATTGGTTTCTTGTTGTCTTTCCAACTTTGGGTTAGTAACATCCTAGCCACTGTTGCAGCATACATACCAGTAAATAGTTTTCCCCCACACTTTTGGCAAGTCTTGACCTATAATGCCTAACAAAAAAAAGCTTCTGGTCTTTTAACAAACGTTGTCGTAAACATTCTTCTCATTTCCCAATAGTTTTTGATTATTTTACAATTCCACCACATATTATAAAACGTGCCTTCTTTCTCTTTACACTTCCAACACTTAATTGGAGCTACTGAAAGTCCTCTAAATAGAGGTCGCTTAAATGTCAGCCCATCCTTGTTCCAGCCACGGAGCTCCTTTAAAAACCGAAAAAAGGCTCAGCAGTGCTTCTGATAAAATGTCAGACTTCCAAAATTTGTGTCCACCTACATTAGGGGGCAGTTGATGGTGAGCACCGAAAACCAACACACCAGGTATCGCATGTTGCAGGTAAGGGAACCAGCTGCTACTGAGATGACCATTGATTGGTCAAAACTACCAGAATGGCAAGTGGTATTCCCCTACAGAAATCAAATCTCTCATAGAAGGCCTGAAACTAAATAATGCACCAGGTGAGAATAGTATGCCACCAGAGAGCTCCTTACGGCACACACAGATTGCTGGCAACCCATCCTGGTATATAAATAACACGGCCCAAATGCCAGCAGGCTGGAGATTGAATATCATCGTCCCAATTCATAAGAAAGTGTATACCTTGCCCCCAATTATCGTTTACTATATGTTCCTTCCAAACTCTTGAGTTAGACACCCGCTTATCAAACTGACAGATTTTGGAAGACACAAGATCTACCCACACTGGAGGAATGGCAGATGAAAATGATGGACTACATGGAATTGGCGGAAATGACTGGCAGAATTCGTGACCAGGGAGAAGAGTCGGTGGAAGAAGATTGGAAGAAATTTAAAGATTATTTACAGAAATATTGCAAAATTAATGAATGTTAGAATGATGTTGGATTGAAGTTAAGTGGTTTCTAGCTGTACAGGTACAAAAGAATATGGAAAAATTGGTTTTTAATATGTAAAAATTTAAAGTTATAATATATCAAGATTAAAGATTAGGATTAAAAAGGAGGGAAAGGAAATGTTGGATTAACAAATTTAATTGGAATAAAAAAGAGGGAGGTATGAGGAGGTCCGGGAAACAAGTAAACGCAAAAGAAGTGAGGAAAAGATGGAATTGTTTTTAATTGTTTTTTCTTTTTTTCTACTTTGTATTTTTCCTTTTCATTGTTAATTTTTTTTTACTAATGTGATTTTTTTTTCCTTTGAAACTTTAATAAATATTATTAAAAAAAAAAAAGATTTTGGATCCATGAAAATAACATCCTATATGAGGAACAAACAGGGTTTAGTGCTAGCTATAGTACATCATTAGCAAATATATTAAGCAAAACAAATGCAAGCTTTATGACGCCTTCATTGAGCTATCCTACCCGCCCCTTTATTTTTTTGAAATTATTTTTATTGCATTTACGAATGTAAAATTGTAACAATCCAAATACATATCCATATATACAGATTACTCTGAATCTCGCAACTCCCCCCCCCCTTTGTGGGTCTTATTATCAACTGCATATTATTCCATAATCTATATATCAATCTACATTATCTATGGTATTTGTTACATTACAAGTGGGATTAAAATCCTGCTAGTGTTTTCATCTGCTTGCAGCGGTCTCCTAAATAAATTACGAATTTCCCCCCTTCTTTTTTAAAGTTTTTGTCCTCTTGGTTCCTGAGCTTTTCAGTCAGCTTTGCCATTTCGACACAGTCAATCATCTTAGCTTGCCATTCCTCTCTGGCAGTATTACATGTACATAGGATGAGCCCATTAGATGAGACCAGTGGCTCATCTCGACCAGCCTCCTTGTTCTTAATGGCCAGTCAGATGCCTATGGGAAAGCCTATAAGCTGGATCTGAGTGCAACAGCCCTGTGCCCACCTGGGATACCCAGCCATGGGCATTCAGAAGCATGCGGCCTCTGACAGTCAAGGTAGGGTGTAGTCATTTTGACTGGTAGCCATTTGTTAGCCTTGTTCACACTTGCCGTCTTTCGTTGCCAGAGTGCCTCCTTCCGCATTCCTTCCCCTTTTTGTCACAAAACAGCTGTTGGGAACTTCTGGCCTGCCGGGCCTCAATTCACGGAGACCACCCTACCTGCCCATCACCTGACATCAGGCACAAGCCAGGTAAACCCACAGGGACGTACAGGGCCAGATTGAGGTTTGATGAGGCCCTAAGCTACTGAAGGTAATGGGGCCCTTTATATGTCCAGCTGTCCTTTGTCAACAACAAATTGTCGCTGATTTTGTGTTGAATATATGCTATATGGTTAAATGGCTAAAGCCATTTGCACCTAACAAAATATGTATTTTGTTATGTACTGAAGTTCTCACCCTGGCCCAGCAGAGGGGTACTGTAGATAGTTTTCACTCAGGTCCACATATGCAAATAAGGGATTGAAAGTGATGTTCAGTGATTGGATAGTTACAGAAAATGGTTACTGTTGCGTTCTAGTGGAGCTCTATATAAGCAGGCTGGCTGAACCCTTCAGTTCAGTTCAGTTCTGGCCTGTGAATAACAAGAGCTGTTTGAAGAATCGCTGTGTCGTCTGATATGTTCACCCACAACTTAACATATTTTATCAAAGTAATTGTTGAACTGAAATACAATTAAGAAGAAGTATATTAATAGTGAAATACAATTAAGAAGAAGTATATACCAGTCCATGCAGAATGTAGGCACCCTATATATAGAAATGAGCAAACCAGTGATATTTTAGGGAGCAGGCTAGCAGACGGGGCCCATTACTTACATCATAGGAGCCTATACAACACAAAACACTGATGCTATATGTAGGTTTTATTTTATTTATTTATCTTTTATTTTAGAAATGTACATCCAGGTTTTTCCCCTTTAAATTTTTTGGGGGCTCCCAAGGGAGTGGGGCCCTAAGCTATAGCTTGTTTAGCTTATACGTAAATCCAGCACTGAGGACGTATTGAAACAGGAAGAACCAGGGGCGCACCCCTGACTCTTTCACTCCAGCTGCTGGTATAATTTGGCACCCCTTCTCTGACACCTGTTCAAAACACGCTGGATTGCAGCTGGAAAGTAGGAACCTGGAAGTCACTGGGATCTCGATTCTTCCTTTGCAGACCCAGCTGTGGCTTGGATTTGGGCTGCGGCTGCAAAGCGAAGCAGAAAGGGAAGCATGTCTTTTCTGCCACCAGCTGGGCTAGCAGCCCTGCCTGCTTCCAAGATTGTCATCCTCCTCTCCTGACAGAAGCAATTGCCCCGAAATGCTTCCTGCATCCGCTGTCTGACTTGGCCCATCCAGCTCAGCAGATCCCACTAGCACATCAGCCCTGGCAAAAGTCTTTCCTTCCTGTCTGCAAAACCTGACAGCTTTAATGAAAGGCCTTTGACTCTCGGGGACGTTCCCACCTTTCCTAGTTTATAGGGACACTGGTGGCAAACTCTGGGAAGCCTGCCACATGTTGGGAATACAGCCTTTTCCCACAAGCCTGTGCCCACCTCAGCCTGTGTGAGACAAGCTTTCAAGTAGTGTATTTTTCGCTCTATAAGACACACCAGACCACAAGATGCACCTAGTTTTTGGAGGAGGAAAACCAGAAAAAAAATATTCTCAATCTCAGAAGCCAGAACAGCAAGAGGGATCGCTGCACAGTGAAAGCAGCAATCCCTCTTGCTGTTCTGGCTTCTGGGATAACTGCGCAGCTTGCATTCGCTCCATAAGTCGCACACACATTTCCCCTTACTTTTTAGGAGGGGAAAAGTGAGTCTTATAGAGCAAAAAATACGGTACTTGCTGCAGAGGCAAGTTTGCATGGGAGAGCCTGCCATTGCAAGGCACACCAACAGGAGAAAGAGAGGGAAGAGTCTTGATGGCACAAGGATGGAAGAATGAGAAAACCCCGACAGAAGAGCAGTGGCAAGAGAAATTGATGAACTATGCAGAACTGGAGAAACTGACATACAAACTGCGAGATAAGGACAACTGTGACTTTAAAGAAGAATGGGAACTTTTTACAAATTGTTTAAAAAGACAGCAAAATGAACTGGACTCCTTGGCAGGTTTTGAATAAACATACACAAATT